GCCACTGAGGGGCTGCTCTCTGAAGCCTCTGATTTAGGGAAAGGCAGCCATCTGGCCAATCTAAATAAAGCTTGCTTAATTAGGTAGTTGTCGTGGAAATGTTTTTTCCCTTGGGTCTAACACTATCAGCTCTAGTTTTGTGGCCCTGAGGAGGCACTCTGTGGTAAGGCTCCTCTTTGGTACACACCCTAGAAGAAGCCACACTACCGGTCCTGTTCTCAGTATCTAGAAAGCATGGTGGTTTTCAAGTTTTAAAAACAGATAAAGTGTGCCAAGGCGGTGACACACGCCTTTAACCTCTCACTGGAGAGGCACAGGTGTGTAGATCAAAGTCAGGCTGTTCTACACAGTGGGTTCCAGGCCAGCCAGGGGTACCTGGTGAGACCCTGTCTCAAAACCACACACACACACACACACACACACAGTTTTAAAAACTTTCCATTACCCCAAATACTATGCCCTCGAGTCCCTGTTAGGAGTAAAACTAACTACCCATCTAAATACTCTAGAGTTTAGTTGATGAAATTATTACTGGGGGTGGGGGTGGGGGGAATGTAGACATAGCTGGTTTTGGAAAAGTTAGAGGTTGAAGTGGGTAGAACGAAGGAACCAAAATTTGGCCAAAAAAAAAACACACACACAAAAAAAACAAAAACAAACAAACAAAAAAACATCTGCTGGGCGGTGGTGGTGCACGCCTTTAATCCCAGCACTTGGGAGGCAGAGGCAGGTGGATTTCTGAGTTCGAGAGTTCAAGGCTAGCCTGGTCTACAGAGTGAGTTCCAGGACAGCCAGGACTACACAGAGAAACCCTGTCTTGAAAAACCAAAAAAAAAAAAAATCCACTGTCTATCATCTTCTAACAAATGGGAACCTCATCATAAATTTACGTTCATTACAATTCAGAGACATCCTGTCTAGTAAACCTAAACTTCCTTCTAATGAATTTTCACTTAGAAGCATTTTGAAAATATGAAAATCTGAAAAAATCAAAATGTATCCTTCCTGTGTGTGTGTGTGGGGGGGGGAGAATCTAATGAAGGAACCTTGAATGGGACAGAAACAGTAAGGCTTAGGGAGGTGCTGGACTCGAGCTTGTGACTCTGAAAGTCCCATTGCAAACCCATTTTGTCAGCCATTCTGGGAAACTCAACTTGACCTTGCTGTTGTCGAGGACATGAGGATAGATTGAGAACGTGGGTCGGCTAGTTGCGAACGTATTCAAGCTCTTGACCCACCTTCCCTTGTAAGCTAAGAGTGACTCCATACAGCCTTGTGTGGAATGCCTCCTTCATGCAGGCACTGAGTGAATTATCTCCCCAAAGTCCATGCTACTGAGGAATGGGCATGGTGGATGATGAATGAGAAACTGAGGCCCAGGAGAGGATGGTCACATGTCAAGAGGATCGGGGCCCATAAGAAGCCATCTCTCTGAACTTAGGATCCTTCTGCTGTGGCTCCGTGATGGCAGCAGAGCAGGAGCTGCTCACTGCAGCATCAGGACCAGGCTCAGGGGTCAGAGGCAGTGGCTCCACTCCATCCACTGTGGATGGCTGGGTCCACTCCAGCAGTATCCACACACAGGGCTGCTCCAATGGGCGACTTCCAGCCAAGGCTCTCAGGTCAGTGAGGATGATCAAGAGAAGAGCTCTTGGTCTCTTGTGATAAACGTCACTCAGACTTGTCACCTAACCAGGGTACAGGGATGAGGCAAGGAAGGAAATCTCAGCCTCTGGGTCCTAACTGCTGCATATGTGGATGCATGCACACACAGGAGGGGTGCCACTCATGTGTGCCATGTATTTGATCCAAATGCTGCTTCACTTTCTTCCTCAGTATCCCTTTATTACTTTCCTATTATCTATCTCCGTCCGGTCTCCCTTAGTATCTCTCCTGAACAATCACCTTTTAAGATTCATGACCTACAAACGCGCACACACTCACCATTTTAAAAGTAAGCACCACAAACAATATAGATGTGGCTCCTTCCTTTCTGAGACTGGCTTCATTTGAGTAATTTAATAGGTTCCAGCCACAATCACATCCTGCATATGTCATGCCTTAACTTTTCCCTACAGCTGCATTGAACTCTATTGTGCATGGGTACCACATTGTAAAAAATACATTCATCCGTTGATGGACATCTCAGCTGCTCTAACTTCTGGCTACAGTATGCAGTATGTCTACAAACACGGATGCTCAAGTATCCGTAGCATGTTAACTAAGCGTCCTTCAGGTATACACCCAAGAGCGCTCTAGCTGCGGCATTTGGCAGTTCTACTTTCAATCCGTTGAGGAGCTGCCATACTAATTTCCATAGAGGCCACTGAGGTTTGCATTCCCACCCATGGTGGACAAAGAGTTCCTTCCCCACCCCAACCCCACCCCCCACATCCTCACCGGCGCTTGTCATTTGTTTTCTTGACATCGGATATTCTGGCTGAGACAAGACAAACTCTCAAAGGAGTTTTAATTTGCATTTCCCTGATAGCTAAAGATGTTGAACACAATTTCAAGCGTTATTTCAGCTATTGGTGTTTCTACTTATTTTGTTTAAATTAGAATATGATATGCGTCATTCCATAAAATGATGAAGAGCTTCCCGCGGATATAGGTTCATGGAAGTAAATATTAATAACACCAATCTTTTTTTGTTTTTGTTTTTCGAGACAGGGTTTCTCTGTGTAGCCCTGGCTGTCCTGGAACTCACTCTGTAGACCAGGCTGGCCTCAAACTCAGAAATCCGCCTGCCTCTGCCTCCCAAGTGCTGGGATTAAAGGCGTGCGCCACCACCGCCCAGCTAACACCAATCTTTTTCAATGCTGTCTGAATGCTGAGCAGTGGTGGTATACACCTTTAATCCTAGCAGTCAAGAGGCAGGGGCAGGCATATCTCTGTAAGTTCAAGACTAACCTGGTCTACAAACTGAGTCCCAAAAATGCAGTCAAGTACTGCTTGCTGAAAAAAAAAAAAAAAATATATATATATATATATATATGTATATAATCTTTATTATATACATTATATATACATATATACATAATCAAACCAAATTTAAGGTGTCAGACAAATGTTCTAAGCAGGGATCACACAGGAGATGGGTTGACAAATCTGTTGTTTCATCAGAAAGTCACATTCTATACCCTGGTTCCTCCTGAAACCTGATTATGGTCTTGGTTCTATTTTCTGCCTCTCTCTAAACCACTTATTTTCTGCCTTGCATATTTTCAGTTCTTGCCAAATTCTCAGCCCCTCTGCTTTTTTCTCCTGATATAAATTCACAAACTAGTTTCCAATTTCTCTCATACTTTCTTGGCTTGGGGGGTCACTGGGAATTAGAGACTAAAACCTGCCTTTACAGGTTCCTTTCACAACTCTGAAAGAAGTTCTGCAAAACTCAGGTGTGTGTCCCACCTCAGCTCCAAGAAATACCTGGGGCCTGGCTGGTGACACCTATATCACCAACCCAAGACCTGCCACTGCCAACCCAGATGCTCTGAGAGGCCTCTGTCTGGGAAGCCATCCTCACTAGCTATCCTGTTAGCTCCAACATGAATCCCATCATTAAACTTTACTTTTTGATTCCATAAAGATTCTCTTCCCAATCCGCCTGACTAGTCTCAGAATTCAACAAATATCCTCTTCTACAGATCTCAAAAGGTAGATTAATAGTTGCTTAATGAAGCAAGAAAGCAAATATGGCTGGCCATATGTTGCCAAGAAAAGGAAGAATGTGTCTTGTTTTCTTTTTAAAAAAAGAAGAAGAAACAGCTGGGCCTGGTAGCACAGGCTTACTAGGGAGGTTGAGGCAGAAGGATTGTAAACTGAAGATAGTCAGGTGTGGTAGTGCACGCCTTTACTCCCAGAACTCAGGAGGCAGAGGCAGGTGGGTCTCTGAGTTCCAGGCCAGCTTGTCCTGCAAAGAGGGCTGCAGGACAACCAGGGCTACACAGAGAAACCCTGTCTAGTAAACCAACCACTCAACCAACCAACCAACCAACCAACCAAGAAACCCTCAAGATATGTATAGGCTAAAGAGTGAGTTCAAGGCTGGCTTGAGAAAATTCACTGAGACTATGTCTCAAAATAAAAGTATTTTAGTGAATCAAGCATGATTACAGTAAGTAATCTCAGCATTTGGAAGGTGGAGACAGAAGAATTAGGAGTTGAAAGCCAGCCTTTGCTTATGAGTGATTTCAAGGTCAATTGAAACTACAAGAGACCCTGTTTCAAAACAACTAACTAGCTAAGTAAGTAAATAGGGGCTAGAGAGATGGCTTAGTGGGCAAAAGCACCTGCTGCTTTTCTAGAGAACCTGGGTTTGAATCCCAGCACCCAGTTGGAAGCCAACAACCATCTATAACTCCAGTTCTTGGGGATCTGATGGCCTCACTGGCTTCTGCATACAGTGTGCAGACATGCACGCAGACAAATCACCTGTGGTTTATATATGCTAGACCCAAGGAGTGGTATTGTTGGGAGGTGTGGCCTTGTGGGTGAGGGCTTTGATACCCTTGTCCTAGCAGCCTTCAGATGAAGATGTAGAACTCTCAGCTCTGTCTGCATTATGCCTGCCTGGATGCTGCCATGCTCCCACCTTGATGATAATGGACTGAACCTCTGAACCTGTAAGCCAGCTCCAATTAAACGTTGTCCTTTATAAGACTTGCCTTGGTCATGGCGTTTGTTCACAGCAGTAAAACCCTAACTAAGACAACACCCATGAAGATAATTGTTTTTAAACTTTAAAAATAAATACACAGCTACAAGATGGTGTGCGTGTGTGGGGGGGGGTCTAGCTCGGTGGTAAAGCACCAGGGTGCCACACATGAGGCCCACAGTTTAGTCTCAAGTATAACAAAATAAACATAAAAGCAACACAACAAAATCTCATTTCTTCGGAAGATCAAAGACCACCTAAGACTTTCCCTGGACCATACTTGTACTTCATGGATTAGGTACTTTGCTATTATCGGGACAAAATGCCTGACAAACACAACTTTAAGGAAGGAAGGTTTTATTTGAGGCCACAATTCCAGAATACAGTCTATCATGGCGAAGAAGTCACTGCAGGAGCAGGAAGCAGCTGGTCACATCCCATCTGCAGTTAGGAAGCAGAGATGAATCCGGGTGCCCAGCTTGCCCAGGACCCCAGCCCACGGAATGGGGTTATCCATCCTAACAGTGAGTCCTCCCGCTTCTGTTAAGACAACCACAGACCCTCTCACAAAGATGTTTGCCTCTCATGTGGTTCTAGATTCTGTCAAGTTGCCATTCAATATTCACAATAAAAGTAACAAACCGAGCAGTCTGGTGGTTACTCTGGGCAGAAGGGAGAATAAAAGGAAGGTTAGGAAGGCGGCTGCAGAGGCCAGTCGGGAGTGAGTAGCCATCTGACTCAGGGTAGAACTGTCAAGACCTGCCAACAGATTGCCTGGGAATCTTCCCATCTGCTGATCCAGAGACTGGTTCCCTTAGACTTCAACACAGTCAGTCACTCCCTGTATTCAGACAGGGCAGCTAAGGCCCACACAGTGCCCACAGAGCTCAGAATTAATCCTATCAACCATAGCTGTTCTGGTTTTTGACCTCATGAACCATTCTTCCTCTTTCTGCAACAGATCCCCATTTCCAGGAATTTACTGCTTTCCTGGCTGATCTCTGGAACCAAGGAATTCAATGGCTCTGGCTTTGAGTTTAACCTGTGTGTTAAATGATACCCTATTCCTCCTCTTCCCTTCCTTTTGTTAGCCCAGGATGGTCAGCCCTAGCCTGTGCTCTAAATATAACACCCTGACCCTTCTCTACTCCTAGCTGCCTCTCGGCATGATCATCCCCTTGTCCCCAACTCATCTTAAGAGTTTAGATTTACTGAGGTGCTGAAGATTCGCAAGGTTTCCCTGTCATGTGCGGTTCCTGTTGGCCGAGCTGTTCATGGCACAGATTTTTTAGCATTTGACAATGAGAATAGATATTGTGACCAAATAAGTTTCACACCCCACACCCTCCTCCACACTCAAAAGGCAAATCACTTCCCAGGACCACCATGAACCTGGGAGCCTGCAGCTGGCTGTGGTCTGACACTCATGAAGCAGTGTAAGGCTCTTGAGCTGAGTTTTGAGGCCACTTTGTGATGAATTCTACAAAAATCATTTTCATGATGTTTGCCTAGACACACAAGTTCATGGGAGGAGCCTTCGTCAAATTCAAGACAGGCTTTCCAAGAGCCTGGAAAAGGCACTGTATCAGAAGGCATAGTCAGGACTGAGTAGATGAACAACTGTCATATAGACCCTAACTTGTTTGTGACATATGGCAGTGGGGCAGGGCAGGAGGGCGGGATCGGAGTGTAGAGCATTGTATACACATATATTCTCGAGGATCTACTTTCATGCATCTCAAGAAAGATGGGGCTTGAAATTCTGTCTTTCTGGATGGCATACTATTTACCTGACTGGGTGATCCATTTCTCTGACCAGCCGGAGATCTTTCTAGCTCATTGCCAGTTTATATAAGGATCTATCTAGCCGTGTCTCTAGCTGGAGGCCAGCATGACTATCCACAGCACCTCTCTGAGGGCTTTGTCAAGTTAGGACTCTGTCTGAGGTGCACTTCCCGGTAGGTGCATGGGGAAGACGGTGGCGATGCCCACTGCTGACATGCTTCCTTGAATTTTCTCAGAGTAGATCCACCACCTCCCACTTACCTCTCCTAGCCCCCAGACTTTGACTGCTATAGCCACTGGGGCAAAGCCCCTATTTTTTTTTTTCTGCCCTGAGAAACTTTTATTTTGATTCAGGCACACAAGTCTCACTCATGCATAACATACTGCAGAGCAGCATGGTGGTTGCAGAAGTCCAGCCACCACTGAGTGACACAGCCCTCATTATACCCGTGTCCACTCTGCTGGAGGATCTCGCGGCCCTTTGGGCCTTCCGATGCGCAAGTTGAAACCTAAGGGAAGAAGAGTTCCATGCACAAGTTGAGGTGTGAAAGGGTAACCTCCTTCAAACCCGCCCCGGTCCAAATCCAGGTGCTCTAGCATCTGGGGCTCTCCAAAGCTGCACTCTATACTCTGACTTACCTAGCCCACCAGTCTGCGCTCCATCTGTTACTTCTTCATAGGCATCAGGCCCGGAAGGGTTTTGATCCGCAGGAACTGAGGGCAGGAGAACCCCTACCGGTCAGCTCAAGCTGCTTTTATGAGTTCCAGGGACTCTAATGGAACGCAGCTACACAGTTCCCTTCCCCGAGGGAGGGGTTGGAGGCGGGGCAGTGGGCGTGGCCAAGTACGAAGGTCAGTCTTTGGGGCCCGGCTTAGAGAACCCAGTCTCCCAGCTGAGTCCTAGGGCTCATTTTGGGGCTTGAACTCCAAGGATTAGGAGCCTGGGGGCGTGGCCATGTGTGTGTGTGGGGGGGTGGGGGGGTCCGCTAACCTTCGCGTGGCCGCTTAGACCCTTCCGAGCTTTAGAAGGGCGGGGGACATGAGAACAGGTGCTCCCCGTCGGCTCTGCATCCCGGGAGGGCCTCAACTCACCTCGGCTCAGTGCTGGTGTCCCCTGCATGTCCTCGGTGTGTGCCACGGGCCGCTGGGCACGTGGAGCCACCTGGCTGTAGATCGGGGTGTCCGTACTGTTGGACACCCGCGTCCCTGGCCCTGTGCCCGCCGGAGCGCCACGCTTCTGCACCACAGCGTAAGTATCGGCCATGGGACGGGTCGGGGGCCCAGGCACCGAGATGCTCCTGCAACGGACAGCAGGCAGAGGAAGTGAAAGCTCTGAGACAAGGAGAGCGGGGGAGGGAACAAGTTCAGCCCAGGCAACCGGCTTCCTTCCTGCCTGCCCAAGTCCCCAGAGCAGGAAAGGAGGGAAGGGGCGGGCCACTCGAGGGCAGAAAGCCGGGGTTCCGTGTCCCTAGTATTCATCCCTACAGCAGGAGGAACAGGGTCAGATTGGCAAGTGGGACTAGGGAGGACCCATGTAAAGCTAGACTTGGTCATGTGTCTGTGACCCCAGCCCTCCTACAATGAGACAGAGACAGGTGAATCCCCAGAAGTTTGATGGACACAGAGAGATTGTCTCAAAACATGTGAAAGGTAAGGACTCATACCCAGGGTTGTCCTCTAACCTCCAGCAATGTACACACACACACACACCGAGAGAGAGAGAGAGAGAGAGAGAGAGAGAGAGAGAGAGAGAGAGAGAGAGAGAGAGAGAGAGAGAGAGATTATATATATATATTTGCCCAATTAATTCCCTTCTAAAAGACCGAGGGAAAGCTAACCCAGACTATAGGGGTTGATGTTCCAGGGGCAGAGTGAGTGAGCAGATGGAGCCAGTACCTAAGAACCCCACCTAGTGGGCGGGACATGGCAGGCAGGTCTGAGGAGGTCCGGAAGGAGAAGGTGTCCTTGCAGATTGGAGCACAGTTCTGCAGGGAAGCAGGCAGGGAGGATCGTGAGGCCATGTCCCTGATGCAGGTCACTGTGGGAGCTGAGGTGAGCTTAGGAGGGGACAGCCTGAGGAAGGAGTTCTGAGGGGGCAAAGGTGACTCTCACAGTGAGTCAGTTGCCGTTCCCAAGAGGCTTAAGTGTTGATGGCTGGCAGAAAGGTTGGAATTGGGGGCTCCGTACCTCCTTGAGGTTCTGGTAGTGGGGGCTGGTGTTCTGGAGAGTGCGGGAGAACAGTTGAGCTACTGTGTGGTACAGGAACCTGTACTGCTCCTGTTGGGGGGAGTGGTCATTGAGAAGGGGAGACTGGAAAGATAGGGAAGCCTCCCTGCGTCCTTGGGAAAGGGAGGACAGGGCAAGCACATACCTCTGTCTGCACTGCGGCAGGCCGCTGTTTCCGCATCTCCAGGACCACTTCAAAGAGGCTGAAGTTGGGCGGGATGGTCTGGGATAGAGGGAGAAGTGTGAACAGGCCCCGGTAGGCGGGCATGGGATGCACTGCACGCAGGGAAGAGGACATCATACCTGGGTCAGCAGCAACTGCCTCACATAATCAACAGCGCACAGGACACCTGTTCGTCCGCAGCCAGCACTGACAATCAAGAATCAGAACAGACACCGTCACAGCCTACCCACAATGCCCCTCTCTCCATTTTTTTTTCCATTCTGTTCTTCCTCCTTTCCCACAGGTCTTGCTGTGTTGCCCAGGCTAGCCTCTGACTTCAGCTTCCTAAGTGCTGGGATATCAGAACCCCTTCTGAGCCGAGCAGCGGGAGATTAGTACCTCTTAAACTGCAGGACCCCTAGATTATAATTTTAAATAAAACCTTTTGGTTTTATGTGTGTGTTCGTGTGCACCCATTGTGTGTGTGTGTGTGTGTGTGGTGACAGAGAATGTGTAGACCAAAGGTCAATATTAAATTTAAGACAGGGTCTCTTACTAAGCAGGCTGCTCACAAATTTGCTTGACTGACTAGCAACCCCTCAGTGGATTCACTTGTTTTTACCCATCACCCAGCACTGGGTTTACACAGTGGGCAAGCTACCTGTCCTGGCTTTGACTGGGTAATGAAGATCTGAACTCAAAGAGTATGCACAACAAGTACTTTGCCCACTGAGGTATTTCTTCAGCCCAGGAAAACCTTTTTTTTATTCACTTAGACTTGTGAACGATCAGCTATATGCTTACTCTCGAGCAGGCAGTCTATTCCAGCTAACGATTCCAGCTCTTTGTCTCATGACCATACAGCCAGAAATTTCTCAAAAGATGGAGCCACAACCGCTCTCCCTTGCCTTTCTGTCTCATCCTCTCCCTTCTTCCTCACCAGATCCTCATAAAGCTAATTTCCTAAACCTGCAGTGGACACAGAGGGGTCCAGATACAAGTCCTTGGAGGCGACGGGCCTCCTCCACCATGGTGAGGATGTGATCAGAACTGCTGGGAACCCCGTGGTCTGGCCAGGACATATACTGTAGCTGGTGCACAGAGCGGGATTCCTGAGACAGAAGAACAGAGAGTGGAAAAAAATGAAAAGAAAAAAAAACATGTTTATTGATTACCTACTATAGTTCTAAGCATATTCCATTTAAATCCACCAGATAAAGAAGAAGTCTAAGAAGACTTGCATAGTATGCACAAGGCTGTGGGCTCCACCCTCGGTGCCACCAAGACAAGCAAGTCCACTGAGTAATAACTGAGGGTGACGGGAACAGATTGCTATCGTGAGTGTCTATTTACAGGAGAGGAAACAGCTCATCTCATGCAAGAGCCCCTTCACCTTTGAACCTTTCGGTACCTTCTGGAATGTAACCTGGAGGGTCCTGAGTGTGATGTCTGCATTCAGTGCTGTCTCCTTTGTCTGAGCATGTGAGAAGAGGACAGAGGAAACAGAAGAGAAATAGAGATCTTAGCAATACATTTCACATTTCTAGGAAGCAAAGGTTTGGGGTTTGGTTTTGCTTTGGAGACAAGCCTTGCTGTAGAGCCCAGACTGGCCTCAAACCAGAGATCCCTCTCTGGATCCTGCTCCCATGTGCTGGGATGGCAGGTGTGTACTACCTACCATGCCTGTTGGAAGCAAAGCATTCTTGATTGAAAATCAAGTACTAAAAACATTTTGAAAACTCTTAGGCCTGTTGCGCTGTTTTGTATTCCTGGGATGGCTGGCTTAGCAGGGTGGTTGGAACCCCAGACCTTGCTGGGTGTGTCTTATAGTTTAGACTCTGGTGGACGAGCTTAGTGAGTCTGATTCCCAATCCTCGGGAGATTTATATTTTTTGCTTCCTTTTGCACTCTTATTACATGCTTTTTTTTTTAACTTCAAAGGAATATTTTTAAATGGTTTCATAACCAATGATGATATGTCCTTTTAAACACTTTTTTTTTTTTTTTGGTTTTTTTCGAGACAGGGTTTCTCTGTATAGCCCTCGCTGTCCTGGAACTCACTCTGTAGACCAGGCTAGCCTCGAAGTCTCGGACTCAGAAATCCTCCTGCCTCTGCCTCCCAAGTGCTGGGATTAAAGGCGTGCGCCACCACCGCCCAGCAGATGATATGTCCTTTAGGTAAGTATCATGTTACTGTAAATACAGCCATACATATATATATATATATATGTGTGTGTGTGTGTGTGTATTTTAATTCAAATAAATTTCTATAACTGACAATATTTTGAATTTCTCTTTTGGCCCAAACTTCTCCCAAATCGTTCAAAACAGGGAAAGAGGACTGCATATACAAACCTAACTAATCCTTTTACAGAGAGCATGAGAGAGTCTTTTTGTTCCGTAATACAATGGTCTCATTGCATTTGTTAATGGCTAACTACCTGTATGTGGAGGAATTCCCTCCAGTAAAGAACACTGTAAAACAAGAATTGCAGGAACCTGAACTGGTACATTTTGGTTGCAGAGGTAGCTGTAATTATAGCTAACAGTGCTGAGCCTGGGAGGAACACTTACCCTGCGTATATTCTGAGTTTTTCACAGTCTAATCAAGTTGTGAGAAAAATAGTTCATCTTTCCAAGCCTAACCCAAGGCTTCTCACTCCATACGCCTTTCTTGAGATCTCCCACACTACCCAAGTTCCCGCAGAAACCACCTCTGTTTTCACCCCTGCTCCAACTTACCAGCGTGATGCAGAAAGGCCCAGCCCGTAGAGGCTCCTGCTTCTGGGCCCAGTAGCGTTCACACTTCCTCTGCAAAGTAAGGCAGGAAGGGCAAAGAGTGGATGGGGAGGTCACCTTCCGAGTGACAGGACACCCTGAGAGCTACTTGTGGAAGGGTCAGGAGCTGCAGCTGTAATGGAGGCCAGCTGCAGAGTATAACATAAACACGTGCACAGCATAGGAGCAAGCTTCTGATCACACCGGGGAAAGACAGTCCAGGATATCCTCCTACGGCCTGGAGCTGTAACTAAGTGCAGGGGACCACTTATCATAGACACATGCCCTGAAGGGTGCTGCTCACTAAGCTGACTACCTGGCCTACCACCTTGACATCACTAAGCTGTAAGAACTAAGGAGCCCTGTGATTCCACTATGCTGCAGATCAGGGCTCAGAGAGAGTGACAAAGAATTTGCAGGGAAGAGAGAGCTATGCAATCAGAAGCAAGGGTAAACAGAAAGCGCCAGGTGATAAACTATCCACAAGAGTCTTCACTGCCTTCCTAGGAAAGTAAAACACTTGAAACACTTTTTAACCAGAGTCAACACAATCTAACACTGAACTATGCAACACTTAAAATCCAGCATCTGCTGTCCTTGACAAACAAAGATGTAGCAAAATGTGGCTGGTTACCAGGGAGTGGGAAAAGATCCCTAAGCAAGAGAGGAAAACGAGGGAAAGACCTTAAAATAGCAATATACACAGAACCAAATGGAAACATGAATATAACAAAGAATAAAATGAAATGCAAAAAAAAAAAAAAAAGCCAGCCCTAGATGGAATTCTAAAACACAATTCACTAACAGCCAGTTAAACCCCCAAAGAAAGAGAAGTAGGAACCAAGAAGATGTACAACAGAGACAAAGCCAAAAAAGACAAGCCTGAAATAAACAAGAGAACCAGTGTTAGTGGGGCACACCAAGTGTTACCCAGAGTCCCGGAGAGACAAGCTAAAGAGAACAGCGGGAAAAGTTTTAGTTTACTTTACGTGTGTGAGGATTTTGTCCACACATATGTCCGGGTACTATGTGCATGCCTGGTGCCTGAGGCCAGAGGCAAGCGCTTAGTCTCTTGGACCTGGAGTTATAAATAGTTGTGAGACCCCATGTGAGTGCTGGGAATTGAACTTGGGTCCTCTGGAAGAACAGCCAGTAATGTTAATCCCTGAGCCATCTCTCCAGCCCCAGAGAAAACAGAAAGTATACTTTAAGAAATAAAAGCTGGGGCTGGAGAGATGGTTCAGGGGTTAAGAGCACTGACTGCTCTTCTAGAGGTTCTGAGTTTAATTCCCAGCAACCAAATGGTGGCTCACAATGGGATCTGATGCCCTCTTCTGGTGCTTCTGAAGACAGCAACAGTATACTAACATACATAAAATAAATACATAAATCTTTTAAAAAGAAAGAAAAAGAAATAAAAGCAGAACATTCCCCAAAACTGATGAGTCTAAGAAAGTCAATAACCTGTATTGAGTGTGAAAAAAACATAAAGCAATGTTGAAGCACCCCATGACCCAATTGATTAAAAAACAATAACAACAATACTAAAGAGAAAAATGCAAAATGACAATTTCTTTCAGAAACTCTGCATTGTGTGATATCCTAAAAGTGCTGGAATTGAAAACGAAACCTTGGGCTGGGTATTTGGCTCAGTGGGTAAAGGGCTTGCCACCAAACCTGACAGTCTGAGTTTTATATCCAGGTCCCACATGGGCAAGAGAGAGAAGTGAGTCTTAGGCAGCTGTTCTCTGCCCTCCATACATGTGCCATAGCACACTCATAACTCCCATAAAGACAATAAAATGAAAACTTTGTCATTCAAAAGGTAGGCAAATTCATTGCAAGCAAATATATGAGAAGAATCTCCTCATACAAACAGAATGGGACACCAGATGGAAAATTGAAACTACAGAAAACAGTAAAGACAAAAATCAGATATGTGGTTACATTAAAACATTCCTCACACTTTTGCCTCCTGTAAAAAAAAAAAAAAAACAAAAAACAAAAAAACAAAAAGGAAAACCAAAAACAATCTAGTAACATTTACTAAACAAGCAGAATTAATACCAATCTTTCACATATCCTTGCAAAAAACCTGAAGGATCATGAACATGACCCAGCACACTGAGGCCATGTATGGCCCTCCTACCGAAATCAGGCATCACAAGGAAAGTAAAGTACCAGTGTCTTATGAACGTAGAGCTAAAATACTAGCCAAGTATTATACACCATAGCCAAGTAGGTTTAATCCTAGGAATGCAAGACCTTTGACAATGAAAACGAATCAGTGTTAGAGCCGGGGAGATGGCTCGCTGGGTAATTTATCATTTTCTGTGCAAGTGTGAGTACCTGAGTTGCATCCCCAGAGCCCATGCAATGCTTGCACACAGTTGCGTGCGTTTATAATTCAAGCATCAAGAGGGGAGGCAGAATCCCTGGAAGCTTGCAGGGCAGCGGCAAAACAGGAGAGCATTTCAGACAAGGAAGAGGGTAAAGACAACACTGGAGCTCATCTTGGGACCTCCACACTCATGCTATGGAAGAGAAAGAGAGAGAGAGAGGGAGGAAGAGAGAGAGAAAGAGAGAGAGAAAGAGAGAGAGAGAGAGAGAGAGAGAGAGAGAGAGAGAGAGAGAGAGAGAGGAGAGAGAGACCTAAACACAAAAACAAAAACCTATTGGTGTCAGATATCATGTTAATAGACTACAAAGGAAAAGCACAAGATCAGGGGCTGGAGAGATGGCTCAGTGGTTAAGAGCACTGGCTGCACTTCCTAGAGGTCCTGAGGTCCTGAGTTCAATTCTCAGCAACCACATGGTGGCTCACAACCATCTGTAATGGGATCTGATGCCCTCTTCTGGTGTGTCTGAAGACAATTACAATGTACTCATAGACATAAAATAAATACATCTTTAAAAAAACAAATAAGGAGGCAGAGGCAGGCAGATTTCTGAGTTCGAGGCCAGCCTGGTCTACAGAGTGAGTTCCAGGACAGCCAGGGCTACACAGAGAAAGAAACCTTATCTCAAAACAACAACAACAAAAAAAACCCAAAAACAAACAAACAAACAACCCACAGGATCATATGAATAGACACAGGGAGAAAAAAAACTTGCCAAACCAACCTAGCTCCACAGTAAAAAAATAAAATTAAAAATAAAATTAAAATCATCACAGCCAAGAGCATTTACAAACTCCACAGAGATGCCCAGTGATGTACCTAGGAAGCACAGGGCGATGTCAGGAGTATTGTCACTCAATATAAGCTATTCGATGTGTCATAAATTAAAACAAGCCTACAACATCAAGAAGTATAAAATATAAAAATGTCAAAGTTGTAAATTTTAGTCCTTACTGACCTGGAACTTGTGTGTTGATCAGGCAAGTGTAAAAGTCACAGAGATCCACCTGCCTCTGCCTATCAAAGGCATATACTACCATGCCAGGCAAGTTCTCTCTTTCTCTCTTTCTCTTTCTTTCTTTCTTCCTTTCTTTCTTTCTTCCTTTCTTTCTTCTTTTCCTTCTTTCTTTTCCTGTTTTTTTGAGACAGGTTTCTCAGTGTAGCCTTGGCTATCCTGGAACTCAATTTATAGACTAGACTGGCTTCAAACTCACAGAGATCCTCCTGCTTCTCCAGTGCTGGAACCAAAGGCATGCACCATCACTGCCCAGCTAAGCACTTTTATTCAGAACTCTTTCAACTCGGTACTAAAGATAATAACTCAGTTTTAACATGGAACCTGAATATATATCTGTCCAGATAAAACACACAGACACATAAACACACACACACACACACACACACACGGGTAGTTTTGTTTTTCTTTTTTAAGATTTATTCTTTGCCAGGCAGTGGTTACACATACCTTTCATCTTAGCACTGGCAGACCTCTGAGTGTGAGGCCAGCCTGGTCTACAGAATGAGTTCCAGGACTGCCAGGGCTACACAGAGAAACCCTGTCTATAAACAAACAAACAAAAACAAGGACTTTTAAAATCATTTTTAACTTGGATGTTACATGCCTGTGAGTGCAGGTGACTGAAGAGGCCAGGTTGTCAGGTCCCCTGGAGCTGGAGTTACAGATCCTTTTGAGCCACTTGATGTTGGTGCTAAAGAACCAAATATGGGTCCTCTGCAACAGCTGAATATGCTCTTAACCACTGAGCCATCTCTCCATTCCCATGAATGGGAAGTAAATAACTCTTGGCCCAGGGAGAGGGCTCATGGGTAAGAAAAGTTGCTGAACAAGAATGAGGATCTGAATTCAAATACCCGGCACCCATGGGAAACAACTGGTATATCCCTGTAGCCCCAAAATCATAGGGGCAGAGACAGGAGGATCTCTGGAGCATGGTTGCCAGCCTAGCTCCCATGTCAAGGGAAAAAGGCAGAAAGTGGATAGAACAGGACACCTGACATACTCCTTTGGCCTCTAAATGTGTGCACACCACACACGCCACACATACACACACACATACACACATATCACACATACACACATACACAAACAGATATACACACACATACACACACACATACACACACACACACACAGGAATGAATGCATGCAAAATAGCAAGTGTTGCTGAGCATATGGAGAAACTAAAACCTCTAGCCAGTAGAAGCCTAAAGGGTATAGCCATTGTGGGAAAAAAAATTAAACAATTCTACTGCAGATTTATATTCAAATAATTGAAAAAATAGACAGCTAGAGAGATAACTCAGCAATTAAGAGTGCCACACAGGGGCTGGAGAGATGGCTCAGTGGTTAAAAGCACTGACTGCCCTTCCAGAGGTCCTGAGTTTAATTCCCAGCAGCCACATGGTGGCCCATAACCATCTGTAATGGGTTCTATGCCCTCTTTGGTGTGTCTGTGGACACTGGGAGTTCAGATCCCAGCACCTATATAATAAGCCAGGCATCTTTGTATGCCTGAAGCTCCAGTTAGTGGTGGACAGAGACAGGGAGATCTCTGGGGCTTGCCAGCTTCTAGAAACTCTAGCCGAGCTGAGAAAATGCAAGCACCGAATTCAGGGAGGACCCTGAAGGGGACAAAAGAGCCAGCAGAATATCACAAGCCTTTAAACCTAGCCATGTAGCAGCAGCAGGAGGGCAGGGACAGGTGAATCTCTGTGAGTTCGAGACCAGTCTCGTCTACATAGTGAGTTCCGGGCCAGCCAGGGTGACATAGCCAGATGCATGAGACAGAGGCACACATCCATAATCACACATGTATGTACACCGACTCACACAAATGAAAACGAAAGCCAGAAGTCAAGGGATAACTGTTTACCAGTGTGTGCCAACAGCATTATCCACAGTGGTCTAAAAGAGGGAGCAGCCTAACTGTCTATCAACAATGAATGGGTACAGGAGACGTGACACAAAGCCACAGCATATTCAGTCTTAAGATGAATAACATTCCGTCACACATGACAACATGGACAGACCTTAAAACCATCAAGGGAAAGAAACCAGAAACAGAAGGGCACATATTTTATAATCCTGTTTACATGATGTAATTAGGACAGGCAACAATGGGCATAGAAGACAGGTGGCCAGGACCACGGGAGGAAGACTTTATGCTTTTTATTTATTTATTTGGGTGGATGTATGTGTGTATGTGCGTGCGTGTGCGTGCGTGTGTGTGTGTGTGTGTTTGAATGAAAGTTAAATGTATTTGGGTGCCCAAGGAGGCCAGAAGAGGGCATGAGATCCCTTTGGGGCTGGAGTTACAGGCAATTGTAAGTTACTTGATGTAGGTACTAGAACCTAGGAGTCCAGGTCCTCTACAAAGTAACAAGCGTTCTTAACCTCCAGACATCTTTCATCCCCTTAACGGCATTTTTATGTTTACATACATTTTACCTCAAGATTTAAAAGACCCAGTTAGAGAGTCTTTCATTTTCCCAACAATGGCTACAAGGGGGGGGGGGTGCAGGGAACAGGCAGGATGGCTCATCAGGTAAAGACACTTGTTGCCAAGACAATCCCAGGGACCCACGTGATTGAAAAAGACAGCCAATTCCCAAAGTTGTCTCTGACCTCCGCCCCATTCCACGGTATGCATGCGCGCGCACACACACGAGCATGCCCCTGCATACACTAAGTAAAAGGTTTTCAAAATGAGGAGGAATCCAAACTGTTGGTGAGGATGTAAGGAAACTGGAGTTGAACACCGTGCATGGAAATGTAACCTGATAAAGCTACTCTGGAAAATGGCCTGTCACTTCCTTAAACTGGAGTTAAAATTAGAGTTCCTCTATGACCCAGCAGTTCCACCCAATGTAAACTCGAGAAACGAAAGTTCATGTCTGCACAAAGGCTTGCATACGAACATCCACAGAGGTGTGATTCAGAGAAGCAATCCAGCATCTACAAACTGCTTAGAGGAGGGGTGAGATGTAGCTACATTCAATGGGTTCCTATTCAGCAATCAAAAAATTACACTAACGACACGCTTCGGTATACAAAAACCGGGAACACAAAGAGAAAGAAAGAAGCCAGTCGTGAAAGTCACATGCCACACAATTCCATTTCGAGTTAAACACGCTGAGTAGGCAAATCTACTGGCACCAAAAAGGAGACTAGGGATTGCCTGTGGCTTTAAACATGGGCTGTGACAGCTAACGGGGTGATGAAAGCGTTGATGGTCTCCTCAAAGTTTTGATCCTCTCACTTTGGCCTCCCAAGAGCCTGAAGTACATACAAGAGGGAGCTGCCACGCCTGGCCAAATGGCTGAATTATATCCCAGTAAGAAGACAAAGGTAAAAAATAATAGCTTGAGGGGAATCGTCATACTATTGTGACAAGCATTTCACATTTAAAACTATCCCGTGTGTTGAAGAAAATGGAAAAACACAGGAAGGAGTTAGAGGTGGGCAGGGGGGGGGGTGGAGACAGGAGTGGAGGGTGGGTGATGCCATGTGAAGGTCCAGGTAACAGAATGGGCAATGGCAGAGGACTGTTCCAAAGTAGAGCCTTCTCTGGCATAGGTAGAGGGGGCGTATAAAAGGCAGGGAAGGGTACAGGAAGACCAGGGTGGAAACTCTTCAGTACAGGACCCTGGCTGTGTTGTAGGCTGTTGGAAAGCCCGGGCTGCCAGTACTGAGGGACAACCCCAAGATCAAAAGGAAAAAGATCAAGACAAAATTAGGATCAGTGGCTTTTGAAGACCTGCAGTGGAGTCAGCCACTCTGGTTCTAAGGACAAGAAGGAGACCCCAAGTCCCCCCCCTCCTCCCCCCTGCACAAGCCTTCTTTGCATTCTAGGAGGCTGAGGATACATACCCGTCCGTTTTCTGTCTCTTGACAAGCCATCAGGATCACCTAGACAAACAGCAAGGAAGAGGGAGGCCACTGAGTAAGGAGAAATCTGAAGGACAGGGACTCAGAACCATGCCCCCTCTCTCTGTCCCGCAAAGCTGACCTTGACCCCAAACTCCCAAACCAGGCGCCAGAAATCCAACAGAGTGTGAGGCAGGGGTCCTTGCGTCGCAATGTAGGCTTGGCTTCCATCTGTGCCCTGGGAAAGGTCCATTCATTAAGGAGATTCTGAAGCCCGTCCCAACCCACCCCAAAGCCACCCCTTCCCTGATCACTAGCCTGACCCGGATGAAGTTGGCGTTGATGTAATCTCCATGTCCCTCCTCCTGGAGCAGGGAAAGGATGACTCTCGTCTCATCATCTGCGAGAGGGTGAGACATATGGAGAGGTGGGTGTCAAGTCTTTGACGCCCTCCCAGGCAAAAGCAAGCAAGGTGACAGCACACTAGTGGGGATCTGTCCCCTTGTGGCTTCAGGGAGTAATGCAGCCACCTCAAGCATGGGCCATAGAATGCTTTGGGGAGGGCGGGGGGGGGGGGGGGGGGGGGGGGGGGGGTGCTGGGTGAGGAGGTGAGAGGCGTTAGCTGGGGTGGGTGTGGCCAAATGGGCACTGCCACCCAGCATCTGTGCACGTGGCACTGGCTCCCCCAAGACACCCACTGCCTTACATGGCACCACGTCTTTGTAGCGGTTCTTCCTTGTGTTCCCAAGCCGACTGCCGGCTTTAGTGGAGCACACACCTTCCGTCTTCCAGGCCACTGAGCGGGCCTTAATGTCCTAGTGGAAGGCACCATGAGCAGAAAGAACAGAGTGAGAGAGTGAGACCCACCTGTATTAGGATCTGTGTAATAATATCTAGAATAGCAGGTGAAAGCCAGACTCGGTGCTAGGGGATTCAGACATCCTAAGTGAGGGCTACCCACTCTCCTCATTGTACAGATGAATGTTGATGTAGATAGTGGTTGAGTAACTTGCCAAAGGTCCCACAAGGAGGTACCCCAACAAAGGTTGAACCCAGACCTCTCAGATCTGCACACTCAGCCATGCTATACTGTACTATAAATCATGATAATAAAATATGCATTATTTAGACCCAAAAGATTGTTCAGTGCATATAATAAACACTTTCTGCACAGACCTGAAGATTTTTCTACCCAGTCCCTACATCCCACACCATAAGAAGCTAGAAGCAACACCAGAAAGTTGTCTTCTGACTGTACATAGATGCTGTGGCATGAACAAACCCCTCACCCCAAACAAATTAAACTGGGGCCAGGGAGAAGCCCCAGTGGGTAGAGGTGCTTGCCACCAAGTCTTGATAACCTGACTTTCACCACAAGGTAAGGTAGAAGGGTAATAGTAACTCTTATGGTTGTCTACAGTCCACCCCCGCCCCCAAAAATGTGTGCACATACATATAATTTAAAAAAAAGTTCAAAGCCATCCTTGGTTACCTATTGAACACAAGACCTGCCTGAACCTGTCTCAAGACCCTGTCTCAAAAAATAATAGGGCTTAGAAAAGAAGGCTAAGTGGTTAGGAGTGCTTTCTGCTCTTGCAGAGGACTAAGTCTGATGCTAGCGCTTGTCAGCTCACAAATGCCAGTACCTCCAGCTTCAGGGATTTAATAGCCTCTTCTAGCCTCTGAGAGTATCTGTATACACACACGTGTATACCTACATATATACATACATATGTCAAATAAAAATTAAAAATAAATACCTTATAGAAGATACAGCATGACAATATGCTATGGATATGAGGTATAATATATAACCTTTAAGAAGATGCTATAGGGGGCTGGAGAGATGGCTCAGCGGTTAAGAGCACTGACTGCTCTTCCAGAGGTCCTGAGTTCAAATCCCAGCAACCACATGGTGCCTCACAACCATCCGTAATGAGATTGGATGCCCTATTCTGGTGTGTCCGAAGACAGCAACAGTGTACTCATAAATAAAATAAATAAATTTAAAAAAAAGAGAAGGTGCTATAGGTACTTTATAGCTGGCACATTATTATAACTAGTGAAGAGCATCACTCTTATTGGGTGTTCGTAATTGCAATGTTTGGCACTGTGTTTGGGCTACCATTCCAAAGTGGTTTACTTATGTCCATCAGGTTATTCCAACCCCCCAGAGACACCTTCTTCCTACAGTGGGTGTAGAAAAATCAAAGTTCTGGAGTGAGTGTGAGATTCTGCATGGAACCCTCAGAACTGTTCTTATCAACCTGAAAGATACACCACATGCAGGTTACGCATATCTTCTTGTTTACAAAATTTATATTTTATGCTGATATAGCTCTGATATATACACATGCTGATACAGTATTTTACATGTGCAAATTATTTAGATTCTCATTTAATCTATACATATGCTTGTGTATATCCACTTATGAACTTAATAAATTTGGTTTGGTTTTTATTTGTTTGTTTGTTTGTTTTGTTTTCAAAATAGGGTTTCTCAGTGTTGCCTTGGACATCCTAGAATTCACTTTGCACCAGGCTGCACTTGAACTCAGAGATTCACCTGTCTCTGCTTCCCAAGTGCTGAAATTAAAGGTGTGTGCCACCATCACCTTGCTATAAATTTGGTTCTTATTAATGTTTGTTGTATCTGTTGTAGTATTGTGGTTGTTTTGTTGTTTTGTTTTGTTTTACTTGTTTAGTTAGTTGGGTTCTTTTTGTTTGTTTGACTGATTGTTTTTGAGACAGGGTCTTCCTACATAGCCCTGGCTGTCCTGGAGTTCTCTGTGTAGAACAGACTGACCTCAGACTTACAGAGATCTTCTTGCCCTGTCTCTGAGTGCTAGGGTTAAAGGCATGCACCACCACAGTGTATTATTGTTATTGGGTTACATATTTGGTCTTTGTGTAAACTATCTTTTTCATTCTTTGAGACAATCTCCAGAGTATTCCAGAGTGGTCACAAATTATATAACTCAAGCTGGTCTTGAACTCATGGCTATCCTCCGGTTTTAGGCTACCAACTACTGGAATTACAGGCATGTGCCACCATGCCGAGTTGTAATGAGCATTTAATATCACATTGATTTTTATATCTTTATAATTTATATTCCAAGTTTGATACATCGTATTACGTATTTGGATCACGTCACTATATTTAAAATACTTTATTACATGTTGTGTGCATGGCTGCTGAGTGGCATTCCCTCTAACAAGCTTGATTGGCCTGATGTAACGTTTACATCTTTTGCAAGCCAAGTTAAAGGCACCTAGCCAGTGAATTCCCAATAAGTAGGTGCATCTACCCAAACCACCTAATTTTCAGACCGGTTTGGCTTTTAACACTCACAATTCAAAACAGGTGAAACTGAGGTCAGAGCTCCGAGGGCCGCAATTCTGAAAAGCCCTAGGATAGACTGGAAACTCGAAACCCAAAAGCTAGGCGACAAGTTTCCTTGTTCCTCTTTTAGCTGCCCCAAGCCACTTCCTCCCTGGCATTACAAGGTGACCCAGGAGTGGCCCTGGTGGCGGACTGGAGTCAGGCACAGGTGTGCTGCCTCCCTCCCCGGCGGAAGCCACCGCCCCGCTAGGGAGAAAGATTGCTCCGGGAGCTCTACTCCGACACCTGAGTGTGCCTGCCTCCTCACAAACAGCGGCCAACTTCACCCTTTGGGCGCCTGCGGGCAGAGTGCGAAAGGCTGGGAGACAATCAGGGTGAGAGAAGAGCGGGAAGAGGAAACCGGAGAGCCGGAGGCAGGAGACGCCCCGGGAGCTGAGAGGAAAAGTCAGAGCTTTCATATTGCACAGGTGGACAGCCGTGGGGAGCGCCTGGCTGCGAAGCTTGATGGCTGGAGTGTCACTCACGCTGAACTCACGGGCGAGGATTGCCCCCTCCCGGTGGGCCCGGGCCTCCAACTGCTCCAAGAAGCTCCTCACCAGGTCCGATTGGCGACTCATGCTGCGACCAGCTCGCTAGGTCTCGGTAAGGAGCGCTCCGACCCAGAGAGATTAGACGCTGCGGGGCGGGGCCTCCGTCCCAGCAGCCAATGAAGACCGGTAATGGCGGGCAGGCCGCGCCCCTCGGCCAATGGCATTAGGAGTTCACTCCGCTCGCCCCGCCCAGCCGAACTGGCCGTCCCTCTAACTGCGGGTCCTGAAATTCCCCACTGGCGCCTTGGATAATTCAGCAGCAACTGGTGGATTCTTCACAGAACTCTCGGTCCCACTTGCCTTTCCAGGGGGATGGCTGCTCTTTCAACCTAGCAAGCCGGGTTCTCGAGGTCGCTCCGGAGTCCTGATGAGGGGAGACGCCACCCAGCCTGTGTGCGCGGACATCCACAGCCGCGCGACAGCCCAATATGAGAGAGATCGGGGAAAGGCAGGCTTCGATGAAAAATACTGCCCTGCCACTGTGCTTTGAGAAAAGTATTATTCCTGAGAGGAGGGAGGGGGTGGCATTTCACTTCTGGAACCTGCTGGAAAAGCGGGGACACCAGGATCTTAGCCTACACCCCTCTGGGAGGAAGAGAATAGGGGCATTGGAAGGAAAACGGAGCTCAACATTCCCCCGCCCACCTTCAGGAGTTTAAAGAACATCCGATGCTCAAGCTCCTCGGGTCCTGGAGACTAAAGGTTGGAGATGAGGCCGTACTAAGGTTGTAGCTGAATTGGTAGAGTGCCTGTCCCAGCATTCAGAAGGTGGAGGCAAGAGAATCAGAAATTGAAGGTCACCCTCGCTTACACTGTGAATTCGAAGTTCGCTTGTGATAGATGAAACCCTGTCTTAAAGTAAAAAAAGAAGGAAGGAAGGAAGGAAGGAAAAGGAAAAGGAAAATGTTTTAATGATGGTGGAATGGTTCAGCGGGAAAATGCACTTGCCATGCATGATGACCTGAATTTGATACCTAGGACCCACATGGTGGAAGGAGAAAATCGATTCCAGAAAGTTGTTCTTTGACAACTACACAGACTCTATGGTGAGGGTGTATCTCCCTTCACACAAAATAAAAGGGGGAGGGGCTTCCAAAACACTGGTGTCAGCAGATGGGATAGCACCACCCGTAGGGGAACCAAAGAATTTCAAGATTGCCAACTCTCTGTTGAGGGAGGACTCCTAGGAAATCCGTTTGGGGTTGTGTGCAAAGGTAGGGCAAAGGAGGATTGAAAGTCCTTTAAGGCACTGGAAGATCAGTTGGGTCACTGGTAAAAGGCTGTCAACTTGATCATCACAGTGTTTAAATGAAGGAATGGATAGCATCTTTAAAAGTCAGACAAGAACTGGTTCAGTCTTTGTCACTAGATCTCCATCCTATCTGTGGCAACACAAAACAACCAGATAGTATGAGGGTGGGGACTGCATCCAAAAAACTTTTCACTGAAAGGGGGGCTCAGCAGGTAAAGGACTCGCTGCCACACCTATCAAGATGCGCTCCATCCCTTGTCACACGTGGTAGAAGGAAAAAAAAAAACCTCTCCACAAGTTGTCCTCTGACCTTATGAACAGGCTTGTGTGTAAGCACTCAGGTAAATGTAATAAAAATGTTAGGAGGGTTGGAGCGAAGGCTAAGCAGTTCAGAGCAATGGCTGCTCTTCCAGAGGACTGGGGTTTGATTCCCAGCACCCACATGGTGGCTCACAAACATCAGAAACTTGAGTTCCAGGGGGACCCAATGCCCTCTTCTGGCCACCACAAGCACCAGGCATGCACATGGTGTAGATATACAAGCAAGTAAGATACTCAGATACGTAAAATAATTTCTTTTCTGAGACAGGGTTTCTATGTGTAGCCTTGGCTGTCCTGGAACTAGCTCTGTAGACCAGACTGGCTTTGAAGTCACGAAGATCCACCTGCCTCTGCCTCTGGTGTTCTGGTATTAAAGGCATGTGCCACCACCACTCAGCCAAATGCAAATTTTAAAATGTGTGGTTTGCAGACTCTGGTTTGCTGGGCATAGCTTCAATATTGAGAAGTGAGAGTAATATCAAACGGGTTCAAGCACTGAGGGGGAGTAATTGTTGAGAATTCAGCCCTAAAAGGGACATCTGTAGCCACTCTCCGAGGCTCAGGGAAAATTGCTGAAGGGCAGGAGTGCCATGAAACGTTTCTCCTGGATGTGACATAGCAGTTGCATGCATGGACTCCTAACATTGGTTCTACCCAAGTTCCATCGTGAGTGGAGCACAGGAGGCCTCATGCCTCCCTGAGAAGCTATAGGCACTTAATAGTTATGGAAGGGAGTCGTACTCCTTACTGCTAGGTTTCCCTCACTCAAATAAATGGCCGCCCTGTACCCATTCCCACTCAGGCAACCTCAATTAAATGCAGTGGGGCATACACACACCAACGACGTGAAGTAGGAGGGGGGATTGTGAAGAAGGGGGTCTGCAGAAGAGAAATGGTATTAGAGAATGAGAATAATATATCGAAATACATGATGTATATATATCTATGTATATGTCTATGAAGAACTAAATGGTTTTGAGCTTTCAAAAGTGGGAGAATCTAAACTATTTACTATAAGTTATTGGGGGGTCACTGTTCACACCTGCATGTTTTAAGGGGGTCAGCAGGAATGACTGATGATGGACAGTAATTGTTGAGTTCACTGGAGGTCAGTGAATGTTACTAACAGCAGTTGGAGAGTCGTTGTCCTCTGGCGCTGGATGAAAGGCAATGATGTCGTGAGTGGCTGCGGGGACTTGGAGTATTAGTTCCCAAAGAAGCAGAAGTTGGCCACTAGTAAATGCTAGTGGGATTGCGAATGCTTGGTGGATGGGCAGGAAGGGGTTGCTGAAAACTCAGGGAACTGTGTGAAAGTTGGAATTGGAAAAGTTGAATTTCTGAGATGACTAATGGCAGTCATCCTAAGCCAGGACCCTCCAGTACAGATGGAGTAGTGTCACCAAGGGATCATGAAAGACCCCTGTGGAGCCAGCAGTAGATGTCACTCTTAGGCAGTGGTCATTGGAGACCACTTCAGTACCCAGGAGCAGCGGCAGCTCTGAGAGATCAAAGCGTCAGATATGGTAACAAGCAGGGGCAGGAGAGCTGACCAGTGCCTGAGGAATGTCTACTTTGGTAGCTGGAGATCTGTCTAAGCTGGGGATGAAAACCCAGCTGGAGACCCAGTAGCGTCTATTTCTCCAAATGGTGGAATGTTACTAAGGGGATTTTTCTCAGAGGCTTAAGTTTGGGTAATAAGTAAGTCTGTCCATCTGAAGGCTGAGCGGGAAGGTGAGGTGGGTCTCCATTGGGATAATTCACTTGGTGGAGATGGTCTGTCTTCTGTTGGCTGGGATTAACCTTAGTCAGCAAGGAAGGGCGTGGCTATACTTCTCTGAGACCACTGATCTGTCTAGATGTCTATCTCCTTATCTGCCCAAAAATCTGTCCAACTATCTGGTTGTCCAGATGGGAGACTGTTTTTTACAGGATTCTGCCTGTCTGTCTGTGATGGCTGATCTTGGTTGTCAACTTGATGCACCCAAAGGGGAGGGAACCTTAGCTGAAGAATTGCCTCTATTCCGTCAGATTGGCCTGTGGACATGAATGTGTGTGTGTGTGTGTGTGTGTGTGTGTGTGTGTGTGTGTGCTTGTGTGTGTGTGTGTGCTTGTGTGTGTGTGTGCTTGTGTGTGTGTGTTTTAAATTGCTAACTGACGTAGGAACCTTGCCATTGTGGGTGGTGCTACCCCCAGGCAGGTGGTCCCGGGCTGTACAAGCAAACTGTCTAAAAAAAAATATCATTTGAAGAAAGCTGGCTGTGCCCAAGTTAGAGAAAGCAAGTCAGTAATGCAGCATTCCTCAGAGGGCTCTGCTTCAGTCCCTGTCTCCAGGTTCTGACTTGAATTCCTTAGGTGGCTTCTCTCTGTGACTGACTGTGACCTGAAAGCCAAATAAACTTTCTTCTCTGTGGTGATGGTTTCTATTGCTGTGATCATCATGACCCAAAGCAACTGGGGGAGGAAAGGCTCTATTTCACTTCAAAGGAAGTTACCCCAGGAACTCAAGGCAGGAACCTGGTAGGGTACTGGGCCAGAGACCATGGAGTGCTTGCTGCTTACTGGTTTCCTCAACCTGCTTTCATACAGCACACAGGACAGCCAGCCCAAGGCGGTCCCACCCACAGTGACCTTGGGTCCTCCCACATCAATCATCAATCAAAAAAAAAAAAAAACCCACCACAGAAAAATCTGGTGGAAGCATTTTATCAATTGAGGTTTCTGCTTCCCAAGTGACTCTGGTTTGTGTCAAGCTGATATAAAACTAGCCAGCGCATTCCGCAAGCTGCTTCCTGTTTGTAACCAGTACTGAAAATGAACTAGATTGGAAATTGGTAGGAACGGGTTTTTGCTGTGACAGACCTGACAATGCTGATTCATGGGAAAGACCATGGAGGATTTGGGAACTCTGGACAGGAAAAGCCCTTGAGTGTTAATGATCTGTTTCATAGGACCTTGGAAAATAAGATGATAGAAACTGGCTTATGATGTTTCTGAGGGAAGTTTGAGTGTCTTTCTCAGTTCCATTTGTGTGGTAAATTAGAATTAAGAATCTGGAAGTGAGACTGTCTTTGTTCTACTGGGATAACGGATGCTGAAATAGCGGTTACCATTAATAAGAGGCCAGTATCACCGAGGTGAAACCTTCTGGAAGTTCTTTCCTCTGGGTTGGCATACGGAAGCTGTGGCCTGGGTTGGAGGCAAGGCTGCATCTCTAGCTGGTAGCTGAACTTGATGTTGTGTAAAAGCCTCCCATATGGGAGTGGGTTTGTAGGCCTGAAGTGATCATGAAGAGCAGCTGAGACTTGTCATTGTGTGGCAGAGTGGCAGTCTCTCGGCAAGAGAGGTCACTGGTAAAGGTGAAGTCTCGGTTTCTATGGAAACACCAGGATTGAAGGGGGTCTCAGGGAGACGCTGACACATGGCACCATGGGAAAGGGTCAGAGTCCATGAGGAGGCCAAGAGAGGCCACCGGCGAAGGTACGGCCTTCTTACTTGCCTTGGAGAGCCCAGCACATTGGAAGCTTTGGAGC